TCAGAGAATCAATAATGTAAAATCACACATAATAAATATATATGGCTTGTAGCCTAGGTTCTGTAGAATATGCATGCAAAATTTTCGTGTTTTCTGATTTTTGCTATGTCATTATTATTATTATTAATTCGATTATTTCAAAAAAGAAAAATTAAAATAATTTATAGGACCTAGTACTAGGCCCACACCACAAACCACACAGTCAACCCGTTACTCCGTTTAAAATTTACCTTTAATGGTGCTGTAATTTTGATCCCTGAAATTCTCAGTAATACAAATGTTCACTGGTTTTATTGCAAGCATGCCCCATATAATAATATAAATATTTGTGTGATACATATTTGTGGCTTTTAGAAAAAAAAAATTTTTTTCCAAAAATAATTTTTAAAGATGGAAAACACTTTGGATGAAAATAAACATCATGACGATACTTCTACTGACAAAAATGATGATGATGAATATTCAAAGAAAAGAGATAAAAAATATGGGGAATGTTCAGCTTGCAATAGATATAATACTAATTATTCATGGTGCCAATCATGCAATCCAAAGCTATTGACTGAAGGATGGACTAGTGGTAATGAAACATTAGATGAGTTGATTAAAAGTACACAACTTAAAGCAATTATGTATGATAGTTATTATTATCTTGAATGGATTCCTTATAATGATTTAATAAATATTGAAAAGATAGGTGAAGGTGGGTTTGCAACTATATCCAAAGCTACTTGGTTAAATGGTTATAAATATGTAAATGATAATAATGAAAGAACTAGCAAGGATATGCCTGTGGCATTAAAAAAATTACATGATTCACAGAATATTTCTGATGAATTTCTTAATGAGGTAAGTTATTTTATTAAAACTAAATTTCACATTTTTGATTATTATTATTGTAATTAAATATTTAATTTTTTTATTTTAGTTCAAAAATTATACAAATTTTTATGATAAAGTTTATATTTATGGATTAACACAAGATCTAATTACAAAAGAATACATCTCCGTAATGCATTACATGGAAAATGGAAGTCTCCAAAATGATGAATATTCAAAAGAAAGAAGAAAATATCATGGGGTATGTCCAACTTGCTATAGATATAATACTAATGGTTCATGGTGTCAATCATGTGACCCAAAGCTATTAACTGAAGGATGGACTAGTGGTAATGAAAAATTAGATGAGTTGATTAAAAGTACACAACTTAAAGCAACAAGATATAATAATTCTTATTATCTTCAATGGATTCCTTATAATGATTTAACAAATGCTGAAAAGATAGGTGAAGGTAGGTTTGCAACTATATCAAAAGCTACTTGGTTAAATGGTTGGAAATATATAAATAGTAAAAGATATAGTAAAAATCGGACTGTGGTATTAAAAAAATTACATAATTCACAAAATATTTCTGATCAACTTCTTGATGAGGTGAATTATTTTATTTTTCTATTTATTTTTTCAAATTTTTTAAAATATTATTCTGAAATTCAATATATTTATTTTAGTTCAGAAATTATGTTACATTTTATGATAAATCATTTATAAATAAAATTTATGGATTAACACAAGATCTGGTTACAAAAGAATATATCTTTGTAATGGAGTACATGGAAGATGGAAGTCTTGAAGATTATGAAGATCAATATTCAAAGAAAAGAAGTAAAGTACATGGGGAATGTCCAACCTGCAATAAATATAATACTAATTATTCATGGTGTCAATCATGTGATCCAAAGCTATTAACTGAAGGATGGACTAGTGGCAATGAAACATTAGATGAGTTGATTAAAAGTACACAACTTGAAGCAACAAGATATGGTAATGATTATTATCTTCAATGGATTCTTTATAATGATTTAGCAAATATTGATAAGATGGGTGAAGGTGACTTTGCAACCATATATGAAGCTACTTGGTTAAATGGTTATAAAAATGTAGATTATGCAAATGTCAAAAGAACTAGTAAAGATATGCATGTGGCATTAAAAAAACTACATAATCCACAAGATATTTCTGATGAACTTCTTAATGAGGTAAATTATTTTATAAATATTAGTTTTAGATTTTTTAAAATATTATTGTTGTAATTAATATTTGATTTCAAAAATTATATGAAGCTTAAAGATGATACAATTCACTTATATGGATTAACACAAGATCCAATTACAAAAGAATATATATTTGTAAATGGTTATAAAAATGATGAATATTCAATTAAAAGGGATAAAAAATATGGCAAATGTCCAACTTGCAATAAATATAATACTAATTATTCATGGTGTCAATTATGTGATCCAAAGCTATTAACTGAAGGATGGACTAGTGGCAATGAAACATTAGATGATTTGATTAAATGCACACAACTCAAAGCAACAGGATATGATAATTCTTATTATCTTCAATGGATTCCTTATAATGATTTAACAAATATTGAAAAGATAGGTGAGGGTGGCTTTGCAACAATAAACAAAGCTTCTTGGTTAAATGGTAAGAAGTATCCAGATGATAAAAAAAGATATAGTAAAAATAGGGCTGTGGTATTAAAAAAATTATATAATTCACAGAATATTTCTAATGAATTTCTTAATGAGGTAAATTATTTTATTAATATTAGTTTAAGATTTTTTAATTAATATTGATTATTATTGTTATAATTAAATATTTTATTTGTTATTTTAGTTCAAAAATTATATGAAGTTTTATGATAATGAAGATATAATTAAAATTTATGGATTAACACAAGATCCGATTACAAAAGAATATATATTTGTAATGAAATATATAAAAGATGGAAGTCTTCAAAATTATTTAACAAAAAATTTTAAAAATTTAAAATGGGAACATAAAATTAAGATTCTTGGACAAATTATTGAAGGTTTAAAAGTTATTCATGAAGAAAAAATTATTCATCGTGATCTTCATAGTGGTAATATTCTTCATTCTAAAAAATTTGTTGAGTCATATATCACAGACTTGGGGTTATCATGCCAAACTAGTCAAACATTATTATCAAACAAAAATAATATATTTGGAGTATTACCTTATGTTGCACCAGAAATTTTAAGTAAGAAACCATATACAATGGCATCAGATATATACAGTTTTGGAGTTCTGATGTCTGTAGTATCAACTGGCCAACAACCTTTTAATAATTTAGCACATGATATAGATCTTGCAATGAAAATATGTAAAGGTGCAAGACCAGGATTCTCAAACAACACACCAAAATTCTATATTGAATTAGCATTCAGGTGCATGGATGCTAATCCAAATAAACGTCCAACTGCTGAAGAAATTTCTAAGATTATTAATTCTTGGAGTTCATTTATTGGAGGCTGGGGGTACTCAAAAGATCCAAAAAAACGTAAGGATGAAAAATCAATCAGAAAAATGTTTTATGAAATGGATAACATAAAATTTGATCCTTTGACAATTAGCACAGCAATTCATCCAGATGCAGTTTATACAAGCAAATTATTAAAATTTACAAGCCTTCCCCAACCTGTAAATTCTAATAAAGTGACAATTATTGGTAATAATAATGGTAATTATTAACATTTAATCATTGATAATTTTTAAATTTATGATATTTATTAATATCCACTTTTTTTTGATAAACATTTTGAATTAACAGATTCTAAACAAATTGAGTTAAATTTACCAGATGAATTACCTGAATAAGTAAAATCCTGTCATTTCATTATGTATTAAAATTATGGCTACTATAGTTGTGATATTAAATATCTAGAAATGAAATTATTATGAACTCTTTGTTTTCTCTCATTGACATTGAAATGAGGTAAATAATTCCACCTTATGTTGGAACATTATGGGTCCGAGTATTTTCCTCCCATGCAAGTGCTCTGACAATTCTTTAACTTATATTTTTATAAATTATTTATGTATTTTTCTATCTTTAGTTGAATTAAAATAAAAATAATTTTCTTTTGTTGTTTAATTCATTGTCGTAAAAAAAATTGCAAGTCATGTGCCCACTAATTTAACATTGGCCCAAGTTATTTATAGAAACAATTAATTGTAACAATTACGATCTAAATCAATGAAAAAAAGAAAAAATAATTGATTTTAAAAGTTTTCAATTTTTTAAAAATGGCTACCATCGAAAAAATTGAAGAACAACTGAAGAAGGCAGAAGAAGAATATAATGAAGCAAAGAAGATGTTAAAACAGTTCAAGGAAGATGGAAAGGTGAGGGAGTTGAACAACCTGGAATATAAGTTGTTGGATGAAGATTGGAAGGACAATAGAGAGAAGAGAAAGTGGGAAAGACAGAAAGGCAGGTTGGAGGAAGAAAAGGCAAGTTGGGAGAAAAGGAAAGATGACTGGGAGAAAGAAGTGTTGGATTGTAGAAGAAAATTACGTGAATTCAAGGGAAAAGGTAATGAACAAATTGCATAAAAAAAAAATATATTTTCCATTTTGTTTATTTATTTACCATTTGTATATTGTTTATGACATTGACTAACTTTTGCTTTTTTTTCTGCATTCTGTAAATTATCTTATTATTCTATATACTTGATCAATTTGCTTATCATTAATAATTATTATGAAATACTACAACCATTTTAGATACAAATGAATTCAAAAAAAAGTATACGCCAAGGCTTGGTAAGAAAATATATACATTCTTTTTATCTCTCTTTTATATTATATATGACTTAATTAATTTATAGATTAGGTGGTATGGGTGTAGTGTTCCATGTCGCAATCCAAAAAAGGAAACAAAATGGTTGAAAAGGTGGTTGCAACCAGTGGTTGCAATCGTTTTTATATGACGCAAAGATGGTAGCAACCATCATCAAAAGTTGCAGCCGGTATCCTTATATGGGTGGAACATCATATGGAGGCAATGAACCTTGGTCATGGATATGAAGGTATAAATATCTCTGATCCAATCATATGCCAAAGAGCTTTCACAATAAATAAACTGAAAGAATGCTTGTTCAAGGAGAAAATAATTCTAATTTGATCACCACCAATGGCTGGTAAAACTTCACTTGCACAACTTCTTGAAAAACAACTTTTGACTGATTGTCCTGATATGAGAATCATTAGAATTTCATTATTGTGGATGGAGGATGATGATCCAAATTGGAAATTTTCTGACCACTTCAGTTGGCTCATGAGAGGAACTGGTTGGCATCAATTTGTAGCAGAATGTTCACATATTGAAACTGTTTTAATTGTTGATGAGGTACAAAAAATTTATAGGTTAGACTCAGAAAATGCTGAACCACATCATGAAGGAAAGGAATTTTAGAACACATTTAAGGATATCCAACAATATAGTAGACTATATATTGTAGCATTTGCATCTTATGGTTATCATGGTGCATATGATTATAGTCCAAACAGTAATGATATTATGAAAGTTTCACCTTTTCAACTGAGTGAACATAGCACATGGGGATTGAAAGAGATTTGGTTCACTTCTGAAGAATACAATGATTATGTAACAAATTTCTCTAGAAGCAAGTTGAATTTATCATCACAACAGGATGAAGATAATTTGCTAAATTATATTAGACAATGTACTTTATGTCACCCAGGATTAGTCACATTCATATTAAATCACATATTTGAAGGATTTATATCTCAGATTAAACAAAATGGAAAAAGATTAACATTTTCTGAAATATTTAAATATTTAAAATCATATAATTTTTATGCAAATTTAATGGTAAGAAATAATTTATTATTATTGTATTTTTTGAAATTCTGGTTGTAATAATGAATTATTTTCTTTTGTCCAAACCATGATTTTAGGGAACCAGGGCTGCTCTTGGCCTTAAAAACATGGACAAAGATGAAACATATTTATGTGATACTGTATTGTTTAATCCAACTGGAATACCAATCCGTCTTGAGACAGTCCCTAATTATGGACATTTATATAAGACCAATTTATTATCAATTGTAGCTTCTGGGCCCAATTATTATGATAAATTCCTTGATTTTGCAGCTCCTTTACTTAGAGTTGCATATTTGCAAACCAGAGTGGGTTCAACAAATCATTCAACTAAAGCACCAGAAACATTTAGAGATTTTTTGAAATTGACATTTGTCAATATGAATCCTGAAACTCTTTGCAGATCCCTTGGTGTTGGTAGTGATGGTTGTCTTCTAGAAAGGGTATTTCAAATGGAGTTTTATCGCTCTGCTACATATGTTCTTCCACAAGATGTTTTCATTTCAGTTGATGTTGGTGCAGTATTTGGTGATGATGGTTATGTTGATTTTTATGTTGATGATAAAAAAGATTGGGCAATTGAACTCTTACGTGACAGTCAGAACATTAAAGAACACATTAATAGATTTCAAAAAGGTGGCAAATATGATTCAATCATTGATATTGCCAAAGAATATGTGGTTATCAATATAACCCAGGATAAACGACATTCTTCATCTTTTTCTGGAAAGAACTACATATATATAGAATTTAACCAAGACTTTAATAAGGTGGTTATGAATTTTCCAGATGGGGAGAAAACAGAAATGTCTTTAGGAGGTAGTGGAATATTAAATGTTGAAATGCAAATTTGATTTATGTAAGATAAGTGGACAAGTAAAACAAATGCATATCATCAAATAAATGCTCTTTTTAATTTAGTGTCAAATAAGCATTAAAATAACTAAACTTCATGAAAACAAGGGTTATGAAAATAATTAATACTAATCAAATAAAAATAAAAATAAAGCTGATTTGACTTTCTTCTGTCTTTGATACTAACTTAATTCTTTTATGTTTTAAAGTACATAGGAATCCAAAATACAATAAAAATACAAAATTAAACTAAAATTTCTAAGTTAAAATGGTATCCTTTATGGCAGATACTCCCACCAAGCACTATAAATTATAAATCTGGATGGATTAGTATTTACAACTAAGAAAGGCATCCCAGTCTTAAGATAAAATAATAAATAAAATAATTAAAAATAAAGATGGTTCTGCAACTAGGAAGTTGCACTTAGAGGGGGGTTGACTGTAGTAGCAGTAGCAGTAACATTAATAATAGCAGTAGAATGAGAATGAGATGGCAGTAGTAGTGGTGATATAAGAGGATTGCTATTTTTCACTGGTGGTGATTATCACCACAGGTAATTTCACTGCATGCTGCACCGATGATTATCACCACACAGGTGATTTCACTGCAATACTATGGTGCAGGACACCTAGTCCCTACAACTTTCTGCGCCACAGCGACAGATTTGGGAAAAAATTCCCAATCAAAAATGCAATAAAATTTTTACAGTCACGTGTTTAAAAATAGATTTGGCACGTTGCATTCTCTTTATAAGTATCAAGTGATAAAAGATCTGCAATACTGATTTCAAAATTTTCAATTCTTCCAATTCATTCATTTTTAATATAAAAATTTGTGTGTAACACAACACTTTGGGGGATTAACATAGTAAATTTGTTAAACTTGTGCAACTTTAAGGCTTAATTCCTCCACAACAACATGACATATCAACAAAATGAAAATGTCATTTTGTAGAAAAAGGTCTTAGCTTCAAAATGGCATCTTGTTTTTTTGGTCACATATTTCCATTTTTGGAGGAGTTAAAGGATTTGCAAGACTAATAAAAGTTGTAGGGACTAGGTGTCCTGCACTATAATACTTAATTAAAAAATTTTTTTGAAGTATATCTCCATATTTATTATAATGTGACTCATTTTATGATAAATATAATTATTACTAGTTGTGGCCCTGTTACTTTGCTGACAGGTTATAACTATCAGCTGATTTATTTTTGTCTTATTATCCCTTAAATTGGCTATCGTACAAATTTGTACGATTAAATTTTTTTATATAAAAAAATTTTTCTGATCATCACGCTTTCTAATTAACAAATGATATTTGAGATTCTATACATTGATCTATATATAGAAATTCGGCCATTATTATTATGGGTTTTGTAAAACTGTAAAAAGTCTACAATGCCCGTGTCGATCATTACCTTAAAAATTGATATATTCATAATAAAATTTTTTATTGTGCGATTTGATTGGTGGAATTTTGTAATTTACCAATAAAATTTTTCGAAATTCCCTTATTCGAAAATGTGGACAGTTTAAGGGATAGAGCCCAACTATAATATCATGTGACCTGATCCAAAGACCAACCACCCTCACCCCTCTAAAATCAGCCAATTTCCGGCACACATTTATTTAGTTATTACACTAATCAATGAGCAGAACACAGGTTTTTATTCTGTTGCATTTATAATACAGTGCAGATCGTCTATACTCTAAAGTTAAAATTTTTGAAATATTATGTGACCCACACATTAGATTTTTAAAAACCCACCACCATTCAATTCAGCTTTAAAAAAGTGTCTATTAATCTAAAAGAAAATTTGTCTCAAATTTTCTTTTTCATAAATTTTTTAAATTGAAAGTTATGCTCAGAAGTGCAAAAATAATTTTCGTGTTACAATATTTTGAATCTCACGACCAAATTTGGTAATGATTTTCTTTTAATGTAATATGTTCGTTAAACTTTTTTGTTGTAAAGAACTTTTATTTATTAATAAAAAAAAGGAAATAAATAAGTCAAATAAATCAAATGTATGCCGTAGAAAATATTCTATGAAAAAACAGTTGTTACACGAAATTTACTTGCTCAATTTCTTAAGTGTATAACAAAATTCGGAATTTTCAAAATGCTAAGGCTCAGCCAATTTTCGGTTTAAGGAAAAACCAGCCGATAAGTTTTGAAGCTTGAGTCATGAACAATAAAACTTATCAGTTAAATTTTTTAAAATGACATAATTTTTTTTTGTTTTAGTATTTTGAAGTTGACCAATTGTTACTATAAGCAATTAATGATTGTAGATGATCTGCACCAGGGCTGGAAATATTATTTTAAAAATCCGGATTTTCCTTTAAAAAATTTTAACTTCCGGAAAAAAAAAGAGTTGCCGGATATTCTTCCTTTTCCTTTTTATTTTTTTTTTGTACAGATTTCCCATCCACATAAAAAAATTTTATACTAAATAATGTATACATATGTGTATCAATATTTTAGAAAAGAACCATAATTTGTATCTTTTGAATTTTCAGAAGAAAAGTATTGACTTAATTTAAATATTATTTCACTGCTATTAAATTATTAAATTTAAAAATATATACACTTTAAATATGAATTTATGTGTATTTGTTTTCCCTTATTTAAAAAAAATAAATTATAAATAAATAGTATAGAATAAGAAGAATTAGATAATCTGACTACTGAAGCATTTATAAATGAAACAAATATTTATGAAACAGATATAGAAGGTTCAGATGATTTGACAATTCAAGGCTCAGATAATGATGATATTTCAAAAATATCAAATAAAAAAAAGTGAATTAAGTGAAAACCATATTAAAATGTCAAATAAAAAAGTGCATTTTAAAAATCAGGAAGAAGTTTTCATCATGGATGGCTAAACACACATAAATGGTTAAAATATGATGCAGCAATGTTGTATGGTGTGCCGTATCTAAAGACATCAAATGCTGCGCCTCATGCCGAAATTTTTAACACCGATCTTTCCTGATTAAGAAATAACTCGAAGCAAAATGTCTCCAGTAAAAAAACAAAAAAACCATTTAAAAAATGCTAGAAAAACTAAAAAGGACAATAATGTTACTAATAAACAATGTTAGTGTGATATTACAATCATTTATTATCATTTATTAATCTAATGGTATATTTTAATATCTTAAACTAGTTATTGTAGATGTTCAGGAAGAGATTATTGCAGATGTTCAGGAGCATGTTCCTTCAAATCTTGAACCCGATCACTTGGAATTTTTGGAAGATGAATTTATTTATGAAAGTGATGATTCAGGAGATGAATGGCATGATGATAACATATCATCAGAATTAGAAAATGCTTTTTCAAAGATTGTTTCTTCTAGCTCAAAACCAGATATATGGAAAACAGAGGGTCGACCACAATTTTACACAGGAGCAGCACCAAAAACTATCAGATTAAAACAAGATGCTCTAAAAAATGCAGCAAAAGGAACTGAAAAGATCACATCATTCTTTCCGGTAATAATAAAAATACATATTTTAAGAAATAATAATTTATTTATTTATGTTTTTTATTTTTTTCTTCAAATTTAATTAGATTGGTGAAAAAAATCCAGAAATTAATGAACAGACTCAAAATGAAATAAGACATTTTTTTGAAGATGATGATGATTCAGATAACAAAATTCCTTTTTTTACTTTAGAAAATTTAGAA